AAGTCAAAACAGAACCTAATTTTAAAAATAGTTCATATGATATAATTATTTAAATAATAGTCTGGAAGTAAGGACAGGATAGTTATACATGAAAATGTATTGTTTCAAGCCGGGCTCGGTGGCTCAGCCTGTAATCCCGCGCCTTTGGGAGACTGAGGTGAGTGGATTGCCTGATCCCGCGGGTTCGAGACCCGCCTGGGCAGGCGAGACCTCATCTCCACAATAAAATAAAAAAATCAGTCAGGCGTGGTAGTGCGCGCCTGTAGTTCCAGCTACTTGGAAGGCTGAGGCGGAAGGATCACTGGAGCCCAGCGGGTCAAGGCTGTGGTGGCCGGGAGCGGCCACTGCACTCCAATCTGGGCGAAAGAGTGAGACTCTGCCTCAAAAAAAAAAAAGAAAAAAAGAAAATGTGTTGTTTCAGGAATAAAGAGTGATTTTATATTTATGTATTTTTTTATTCTTGAATTTAAAAAACATGGATCTCTTGACTTAGACAATTATTATACAAGGAAAAACCTATTATATTGATAATATTTAAATATTATTTGTCAGTTAATTTTTTAATTTTGTTTTATTTAATTGCTGACTACTGTCATTTTATTTTGTGTACATCATTATTTAACTTTATCTTGCTTAATTTTCTGACTATAATATAATATTTTTTGTATGGTTTGTTTGAAAAAACTAGTTTTCACATTTGTTTTCATTCTCCTGTGTTTTGCATATTTGGTATGTATATATGCAATATAAACAAATGTGTATCTTACTTTAATTTAAATATATAAATATTTACTATATAAAGATAGAAATTGTGCATAAATATATAATATATAATATACAGGAGAATATATATTTTTTTGTTATTCCAGTTATGCAAAAACATGGAGTGATGATTCTAATTTATTTTTAATTCTTCATTTTTTTCTGATTTAGAAACACTTCATTAATTTATGCTTGACTGTTAGTCTGTGATACCCAAATATCTAAAGTAAAACATTTATTTATTTATCTATTTTTCATAATTTTAAATTTTGATATCGTTTCAAAATACAGAAAAGTTGCAAGAATTGTGCTTAAAAAGCTTAGATACCCTTTTTCCAGATTTATGACATGTTTACATTTTACCTTTTTTGCTTTATTATTTCTATGTGGTGTTTTCTCTTTCTCTGTACAGAAACATAGCCCCCACACACATTTTTTGCTGAATTATTTGAAAATAAATTACAGAGATCATGCTTCTTTAATGTAAGAGATTTACTGTGCATTTCCCAAAAATAAGGACGTTGTTACAATTATGAAAGATGGATTTATATTTATTTATATTTATATTTATTTATATTGTGTAATACATAGTGTAGAACTATGATTGCAGGTGCATTTGCAGGTGCATTTTGTTGTTTTATTTTTTCAAATGTCTTTTTTTCTGGAACATTTACAGTGTCAAATTATTTTGACATCTGAAGAATTCAGGTCAGATATTTTGTACAGTATTATCATTTTGGCTTTACCCGATGTTTTCTAATGATTAATTTAGTTTATGCATATTTGGCAGGCATACAGCAAAAGTGATGTGTTCTTCTCAAGTGCTACATACTTGGAGACACATCATGTGTATTTTTCCCATTATTAATGATGTTGTCTTTGATCAATTAGTTAAGGTGCTCTCTGCCAATTTTCTCCACTGCTAGTTACTATTTTTCACATTGTAATTAATAAGTAATTTGAGGGAAGATACTTTCAGACTGTGGAGAAATTCTTTTTGTTATCAAACTTTCATCCACTAGTGTTGATCCACTGATGTTATCTTGACTGAATCAGTTACCGATAGTGTTTTCTTAATGGTGGTTTTCTAACTCCATCAATCCATCTATATTTGGGGGGGGCAATCTACCCAAATTAAGAATTCTCTCTCCTTCACTTTATGCTTTATTCATTTCTTTATTTCTATCATATTTTCCATAATAAAGTTTAATTCTTTACAATAATTATTCATTTTAGTTTCCCAATTGTCCCAAATTTGACTGGTGAGTCTCTTGAAACCGAGACCTGTGTCCTTTTGACATGCTGTCATCATTTGAAAATGCCTCACTGGCTTCTCTCCCAGAAAAATAAAATGCAGTTTACTCAGATTCTGTGTCCATTTTCTAATATGTCATTATAGTTTTTAGAATTTTCATAGTTTGAGTGGACTTTTTGTGAGTGATTTTTGTGTCACTCTTAGGACTTTTGCTTTCCTTTACTCTCTTTCTCACAGCTTTTCTGACCCCTCTAGTGTTCTGTGACATATATATATATGTCTCTCTCTCTCTCTCTCTCTCTCTATAAGAGAGAGAGAGAGAGAGAGAGAGAGAGAGAGAGCGCTTGGAAGATAGCTCTGTTAGAAATTGGTGCTTAATTTTCTGTTTACAGATAATTTGACATTTTTATTATTCTTCAACTTCCAGTTTGCTGAAGGCCTGGGATATGTGTCTTATTTGTTTTTGTTAGCTGTATATATTTTGAAGGATATGTGAAGAGTTTCAGATAATAGGTGGTTCCTATTTCTACCCAAAATTTCAGGTCCATTATTTTAAGCATCCTGAAAAATATCTTGATGTTTCAAGACATTTGCAATATGTCAGTATTTAACCAAAATGTGTGAACTGCACAGCTTCACATTTTTGTGTCAGTATTTTCATAACTCAGCTTATCCAATTGAACTGAATTTTTTTCTTTATCATTATTTTATTGCATGGTACAACTCTCAATCTAGGAAATATCTCTCTGAAAGACATGCTCATGGTAAATGTAAAATCAGTAGTTGAGATCATTCATTCACTTGATGTACTAATCAATTGTGTTTGTAACATTCTCCATTAGCTATAAAAATTATCAAGTATACATCTAAATAAATGGAAATTCAAACCTAAAAAAATGTAAAACACATATAGATTAAAACAAGATACCTTATTTTTTTCTTTTAATTTTTATTTTGAAATTGTGGGGTACAGTTCAGTGTTAGGTATGCAAATGTTCATTGTGCAGGTTCCCTTAGTGATGATCAATGGCATTTGATTATAAAATTCCAGCAAAATGTATTTATAAGTACTTTCAACTGATGAAATAAGCTTTTTAAGCATAAACAAGGGAAAATCCTTTCTTCAGTTTCACACAGCGAAGAAATCTGCTGGAAGTTATTGGAAAGGAGGACTTGGATTAGGTGCAAAACATGCAAGTATTTACAACTGGTAGGGTATAAGGCAGTGTGTGAAAGTGGGGACTATTTATGTGCAGAAAGAATGTGACATCTAAGAGGGACAACCATTTTTCCGTTCCCTGTGGGAGCTGTGAGCTCAGCCTTACAAAATCTTCACTATTTCTAAAAGCTAGAAATGAAGATTTTTTAAATGAGAAATCTGTGTTTAAATATTGTTTATATTTTTAAAACCATGGTGTAGGACAAACAAAACGTCACTAAGCCAGATTTAGTTTTTATGACCCAGTTTACAAACGAAGCTCTAGATGCAACATAGAGACTAGGAGGTGTTGCAGATGAAACCAGAGTTAGAAAAGGTGGTTTTGAGCCCAGGCTCACCTTCTATTAGCTGTGTCAAATGGGACAAGTCATGTGATTAATGTTAACCTCAGCTCTCTTGTCTATGAGGAAGAGTATGCTAATATAGGAAGAAATACACATATCTGCTCATTGTGATAACCTTAAAGTTCTATTGAAATTATATATGAATATGCATTTGTATCTTATTAAGTTCTAGGTTTTAAACTTAGAAAATACATATTTTCTTGGGCATTTCTTGTTGTTTTTTTTTGCCATTTAACTATACATTCGCTAACTATATCTAGTTTACCCTTATTTGAGAGTTTCTGTGTTGAACATTATTAAAATCATCAATTTATGGGCCAGGTAGAGGCCATTGATAACCTGGTGCCCTTCATATACTAGAGGAAGACAAATTAGACTTTCTACTCAGAATGCTTGCTCTGAATGTTGAACTGTTGATTTGGTTACAGCTGGTTTTTGTGAACACAAAAGCACAACTTCTCTATTATTAAAATGATATTTTTGCTATACAGACCCAAATCTCTCTGGGCAGAAAGTCTGTTGGTTACTGAGAACTAATATTCTTCTAAAGATGCATGATACTTAGGGGGATTTTTATTTGTATTGTCCATAGTGTATCCGATCTGTCTGAAACAACATACTGTATTTTAAGGGGTTATACATAATCTTAATTAAATTGTATTTTATTTTGTTCCTTTTGTAAAACTGTATACTCAGTAGCATAAAATCCATTTAAGTTGAAATATTTTGGGATTCAAAAATCAATGTGCTCTTTCTTCTAACACCCTCCTGTAAAACAAACAAATTAATTAATAAAACTTTATTAAATCACTTTCTCCTTATAATCACATTGACCTTCTGGAACACAGAGAATGAATCTTTTTTGAATATTTTTGTAAGGTGTACAAGTCACATGCCTGCATTTCTTTCAGTGCATGGTTTTCAATTAGAATTGAAATGAAATTGCAAAGTGAATTGGTGCAATTCTCTGGGTAAATCAAGCACACTCTCTTCTAAGTCACTGATCCTCATATATCAGACAAAAGTACATTTTAAAAACTTGAATTATTTAAATAGTCACCTCAAATCTTCAACTAAATATACTTATAAACATGTAATATCTTTGAATTGCTCTTATGCTGTTCTGTCAATATTCTGTGACACTGTTTTTCTTGTATGTAATTCTGAAGGCAGCGTGCAGGCTTTTCTTACCTCTTACTTAAAAGTGCATTCCTTGACTGATGTTTAGAATATCTGATTATAGTTTGGAATATTTATGTTTATTAGCCCATTATACTTTGCTTGATGTATAATCTACATTTTCAAAAACTTATTGTAGTATGTTAAAGTATATAGTGTTTAAGTGTGACTTGGTCTGGATTAGTTTTCCTATGACCTTGGTAAAATGCTTACTCTTTTGGATTTTTTTTTTCTTCCACAGATGCATTTTGTAGGAGCATTTTGAGGATGAATGTTTGCACATCATTTTGAAATTGCCAAGTGCCACATACAGTAAGTAATATTATTATTTTTCCACTCAATTGCAGTCATGCTGAATGAATTTGGCAGATAGTCATAAAAGAACACGTTTCTATTTACAGTTCTTGATATTGGTGAATATTGAGGAAAAATGTATACAAAAGATAAAAAATGATGAGCTATTTGCTAGTCTGAATGATGTTGTATAATTTCAAGACTTCTAAAGACTAATTTCACTATTGTTCTGTGTTACCCACACATAACATTTCTCATTTATTCTTTAACTGAGATATTTTTTCTCTTAGTCATAAACAAAAAGAGTGAAGGAAAGATTAGTGATATTAACCAGTGTTAATATGAAAATTTTAAAAAGGAGAATTGAATTAATATGTATTTAAATTTGTTGCATGCCAGACAATTTATATAAGCATTGCCTTTAATCCTCTCCCAAATATTTTGAGATCATTATTTGTGTTACTAGTTTATAAGTGACACAACTGAAGTGCAAAAAATTTTTATAGCTTGCTTACTATCTTTTAAAAATGACACATTTTGACTTTGAATATAAGACTTTTCACAAAATGTTGCCTCCACCAGTAACTTAGAATAAGTTAAATAACTTCAACTTAAGAGACTAAATGTCTAAGAGTTCAGACATGTTCTGATTGTTAATTTTTTTACTTTGGTTCTGCTTAAGCATTATGTTGGCAATGTTGTAGATTATTTTTGAATTGCCTATCATGTCATTGCTTCCGTTTTTTAATGATGCTTTCGAATTCCTGAATTGGATTTCTTTGAAGTAGAAGGAAATAAGTGAAAATGTGGATTCCTGAAATGAATTTTATGAATAATCTAAATTAATCTTCGAGAAAACATTTGCAATTAGAGCTTTAGCATTCCGCAAAAGTCTAATTTATTTAAAAAAATCACACACACATTTAAATATTGTTATATTAAAGTTGGAAGACCCATATACTCATAGAGTCCTACCCTTCACATGCTCAACTGCTTGTTTGATGAAGTAAAATAATCTGGAGGAAATTTCTGAAATATGATTTCCAAAAAATATAGATGAAATGATGGCAGCATTGATATTTGTACATTGTCTTCCAATGTAACTACTTCAGTAAAAAACGGTTGAACATTCCTGACTATGGATTCAGAATACCTGCTTTATAGCTTGGCTGTCACTTACTAGCTATGTGACTTTGAATAAATTATTTAATGTCTCTTTAAAAGGATTATAAGATTATGAACTACCTTATTAGTGGTGAGTGAGTGAGTTAATACATATAAAGTATAGCACAGTTCCAGATACATGGTAAATGCTCAATATATGTTAGTGGTTATTAAATTGGAATTGATCTACTTGGATATTTTATTTAAAATGTCTGTTAATCAAACATAATAACTTGATGATCATGCCATATAAAGTGCACATTAAATGTACTCTGTGAATACTGTTGATTCATGCTCAAAAAGAAACTAAACTTCAACTTCCTTTGTAGAAAAAGAACAAAATAGTTTTAAGTAGGTGACTTTGCTTTGCATTTTAGTGAAGAAAGTTTAGTCAGTCAGTTTGTATATATAATGGATATAAAATCAGCCTACAAATATAACTTATTGGTTGTTAACTACAGATCTAGGCTGAAATTGTGAGCTTTTGGAGAGAAGACAGGGAAATTGTGAAGTGCTAACGTAGACTGAAATACTGACCTTGAAGGAGACGGGGCAAACTTGTAACACAAAATAAGAACAATAGTTAAATGGTTGTCAAATTACTTGAAGGAACAATCTTATCAAATGTTTTATTAAGTAATTCATGGAAATTGAAGGGCTGTGGGCAAGACAGCATTTATTAAGTATTGACTCTATCTCATGCACTTTATATCCAACAGCTCAGCTAATCTCAGTAATACTATCATGAGGTAGATATGTTGGCGTCCTCATTTTTCATATTAGGAAAATGTACCGCAGAAAATTTGAATACATTATTCATGGGAATGAAGCTTGAGGCCCATCAAATTCTAAAACTTCTTTATCCTCTTAACCTGGATGTTAAGTGCTGAGATTGTGTGACTGATGTAACTTTCTTTTATTTGCATAAAAACACTATTCCCAAACCTCAGATCATACATAAAAAGGCTTTAGTAAATGAGCATTTTACGATTGAATGTCTAATAAAATAAATGACAATTTGCTTATATCAAATGTCAATAAGACCCCTCAGCAACCCAAAATTATTTGCTTGGAAAAAAAATGTTGCTTATTAGAGAAAACTTAAAAAAAAATTAGCTCCTTTCCTAATGGAGAGACTAGATTTTATGTTTCTGTTATACTTTTAAGAATTAGACTTTATCTCTACAATAAATCAAAAAATCAGCCGGGCGTGGTATCGCATGCCTGTAATTCCAGCTACTCGGAAGGCTGAGGCGGAAGGATCGCCGGAGCCCAGCAGGTCGAGGCTGCGGTGGCCAGAAGCGGCCACTGCACTCCAGTCTGGGTGACAGAGTGAGACTCCAACTCAAAAAAAAGAAGAATTTGAAGTGGCTGACCACTTTTTCTTGCCATTCTTTAGCCACTTTATGCAGTTCAGGAAACTTCGGAATGAAGAGTTGACTTATGACTCTCCTCCCTCTTTATTGTCTTTAGGCTTAAAGAGTTCCTACTGCCTTACTTTGCATTCCTAGTGCCATGCTTTGTGTTCCCAGCACCATGCTTTACATACTGGCCATACTGATGCTTTCCCTTTTGAACTCTTGGGTGATTATCTTCTACCATAGCCATCTGTGATTCCCAGTCCCTGTACACTTCACTTCTTGTAACTCACCACTGCAACATTTTATCGTGGGGGGATATTTTCAGAATAATTAGTATTTAAAAGATTATTGCTCTAAAAATGAATTGGTCAAGTCTGTCATGGTACCGTACTGCTTTTAATTTTGAGAATAAAGAGCTTTTGGAATGCTTCTACTCTCTTTTTATTTTATTTTAAAATTGTGGGGTACAATTCAGAGTTAGGTATACAAATATTCATTGTGCAAGTACCCTTGTTGATGAGGTGTGGCTTCTACACTCAATTTCTATATTTGAAAAAAATATTATTTATTAAAAGAAGAGAATATGGTAAGTTACATCATAAGAGTGGTATAGAATAAGCAAATTTTAAAAAGCCATTTCAAATAATTTGAGAAATAATAAAAGGTAAAGTTGTGTGCAAAAAGAGAATATCAATGGAGATCTGAAGAAGGAGATCTAGATCTGAACTGCATTGGTCCAAGATTTTATCGTGGAGATTGCATTTGGGCTACGTCTTGATGCAGGTGGAAATATTAACAGAGTAGTCAAGGAAATGATATACTAAACTTGAGACGTGAAGAAGCATACTTCACACTTAATGAATGGTAAATTAATTAGTTTGTCACTATAATAAGTTTCTTATACTTAACTAAAAGCAGATTACAGCAAAAAATAAGACTGGTAACCCATCTAGAAATCTGAATTTAATTGGTAGGCAATTAAAAAAAAAGAATATTTTGTGAGGACTAATCCTGTGAATAATATTTTTTTACATCATAATCTGGCAATGTCTTCAGAACATTTTGCAGTTGGAAGACTTGTAATGAAAAGATCAATTTTTAGGCAATTGTAGCAGGATAAGAATGAAGGGACAAAGGCAAGACTTAATGTCATAGCAGTGGGAATGGAGAGGAAGAGGTGGGAACATGTGAGATTTATTTGGAAGGAAATAGGTTGAGGGAGTAATGATAACAAACACTGCAGGATTTACTAAGTACCAGCCTTGTTTTAAATGTTAATGACTAATGACATTTCCATTTTTTACAAGAGGAAGCTGACACAGATATCAGTTAAGCAAATTGTGCCAGAACAACTAAGCAAAACATAGCAGGGCTGATATTTGGGCCCATCGAGTCAAACTCCAGAGTCACTGCATTTGACCACTGTGCCATCATTCCCCTAAATAACTGAGATTTTTGATTGACTGAACTGGAAAATAATGTTGCCAATAATCAGAAAACAGACTTTTTCCCCCTGGAGTTTACTCCTTCTTTAGATGGGTCTTTGGAGAGGGAGAAAAATCATCTGGCTTGTAGAGAGAAATATCTCTTATGGTTAGTGATTAATCTTTTATATACATCCACTTCTATGCTGGGCAACAGGAACAGTGTAATTTATGATATTACTCAATTATAAATTAGAATAGTAAATATGACATCTTAATGTGATTTGTCTCCCTTTCTTAGCAAAGCTTAAAAATGAAACAAGGATAGAGTGATAAATTAAAGATTTACTATCTTGGGTCCATGAAAGATCAATAATTTAGACTTAGTTTACCTATCATACAAAACAATAATTTTGACAAGAGAAAAGAAGTCACCTCAGCATACGAGTATCTCTCTTTTTCTATATTGAAGAAGTAGCATAGTATACTGAGTAAGACCATGAGCTCTAGGACCCTTCTGTTGCATTTGTTCCAATCTCAAATGAGATCACTCTGGCTGTGTGACCTTGTGTCAATTATTTAAAGCTATCTGTGCCTCAGTCTCTTTGCCTTTGAAATGTGATAGTAATAGTACTATATCTTCTGAATATTTTAAAGTTTAAATGAGATAAAGCACCTACAATGGCTCTTGGCATAGAGTAAATTCTCAATGTGTTATGTTCATTAAAGTTTATCTCATAAGTAATTTCAATTTATCAATTTTAATTCCAGAATTATTGCCATTTTAAACATTTTTTGTGAAATTTTTTTTGCATTCAGAGCATAAAACACTGATTTTTCCAAGTAGACTCATGCAGCCATCACACAGATGAAAAAATAGAACATTTCCTCATCTCAGACCCTAGTTTTTTTGCCTCTCAGCCACTATTTCCTTTCCATCCCCAATGGATGACATTATCCTGATATTTATATTTATTGCTTCCTTGCATTTCATTACAATTTCAACATTTCATCATATATTGCTGCATACAAAATTTTAATTTAGCTTTACTTTAAAATTATGAACGTA